CCAGTAACTCAGATAAAAGATTGAATTGAGCCTTTAAGGTAAGTTATTTTTAAAAAGTTAAAGGACTAAAAACATCAAGTTAGTGTTGGAGGGGGGTAGTGAATGACTGATTTAATAAAGACCTGAAAAGAGATTCAAGAAATGAAAATGCATTGCGATTAAAAACTAAATGACAAGTGCTACTTTCCTCAGTTATCTGCCTTTAGATATTTTGACTTTATCTTTTCACTGTCTATTCTCTTCAGAACAGGAACATTTTAGGAGGATAACCCAGGACAAAACAGCTCTGCTGCCATAGATCTGAGTCTCAGTGGACAGGGTATATGACTTGTGGATGATTGTAGCCCCTAGTTGAGAGTGGGAATAGAAGTGATTAAGGGCTGTGAAAAGGGGCTTTTATGGAACTTTGAGAGAAGCCAAGTTTGCAGTGATCATTTGGAGATGGAGCAGGACTCCGGAATAGAGGAAATTCCAAGGAAGGTGCTCGGAAAACTTATATGTTCATGAAGCAGGGAATGGGGTGAGGTTGGAGGGGTTCTTTGCAAATTGAGCTGACAGTTATCATGTCTCATTCAAAACCCATGTGTTAGGGTTGCCACTGAATGGGGAGGGACGTATCCTTTCCCCAGGCGTTGGGCCTGGTGAAATGGCAGCAGAATTCCTTCCCCACTGAAGCAGTTAAGTGCCGAGCCTTTTTGTTCCTTTTTTCCCTCCTCGCTTTATGATATTAGTGAGGAGAGTAGGGACTGGAGTGGTGACTGAGTTCCTTTTATCAAACCCTTTGGTGGGTACTTTTGGTGACAGACTGACAATTTTATTTTCTTTGTGGATGTCCAAATATTTGCCCTTCTTACCTATATACCTAGCCCTCCAAGACTTGTATGGTCAGTGGAAGTGTTCATCTGGTTTGTGTTCATTCATCTCTTATTTCTGGAGCAGGGACTGAGACCTGGCCACATGTCTTTTGCATCCCTTCCTCCTTTGGACTATTTATTTGTTTGTTCGTTTGTTTGACGGAGAGAGAGACACAGCGAGAGAGGGAACACAAGCAGCGGGGAGTGGGAGAGGGAGAAGCAGGCTTCCCGCTGAGCAGGGAGCCCAATACAGGGCTAGATCCCAATCATCACCTGAGCCGAAGGCAGACGCTTAACAACTGAGCCACCCAGGTGTCCCGTCCTTTGGACTTTAAAGTTTGATTAATTAAAAAAAATTTTAAAAGAGGTAATAAGCAGTTTAGATATAATGACTCAAGAGAGACTTAGCGAACAAGAAGGTAGATCTGAGAACATTGCCCAGAAGGTATAAGAAATGGAAAATGAGAGAGAAGTTAAGATAGGAAGGATAGAGTAAGGTTGTGCGCGTGCACACACACACATACACACACCCTCACACATAACACATAAATCTTACAAAGAAGAGAAAGGGAAATAGGAGGAGGCAATTTTCAAAGACATAATAATTGAGAATTCTCTGACTTGAAGACAAATATTTGAAACTTTTGGCTGAGAAACACAGCCCCATTATATATACATAAAACTAGGTGCATGGTACTGAAAGTGCAGAACACAATTAAAAAAAAAAAAAGTCTTTGGAACAACTAGAGAGAAAATACAGATAAATTTACAAAGGAGAACATTTATACTGACAGCTGCAGTAGACACCAGAACACCACAAAACAGTATCTTGAAAATGCTGGAAGAAAAATAAGCCAGCCTGGAATTCTACATCCATCTAAACTGTCATTCAAGAGTGATGATGAAGTAAATATTTCAAACAACCTAGGATTATACCACTAATGGAACGTTTATTGAAAGAATTTTGAAAAATATATTTCACAGAAGAAGAAAAATGAACCCAGATAAAGAGAATAGGGAGCAAAATGGAAAGGCGAACAAGAAGATATGTGGGTATATATAAGTAAGCATATACTGTTAAATAACAATTATAATGTTATCTTAAGGAGCAATAGGATAAGAGGGAGCTAAAGTATTAGGGAAATAATGTATAAGATGGGAAGAGATGATGAGAATAGTGTTTTTTAGTGGTATGTAAATTTATAATAAATTTTTAAAAATTAATATATACAGCTTAGGAAAAAGTTGAACAGATGATACAGTCTCCATATCATTACAAATTATATGCCTTTAATTAAAATTCTTGATAATGTTCTGATAGTTTTAGTTGGCTTATGCTATAATTTCTACATTATAAAAATAAAAGTCTTATTGGAAAAACAAATAATTAAGATAATTTAGAAAATAAAGTTGAGGAAGGTGTTACAGGAAGTGGTTCTGCCAAGAATGAATTATTTTAAAACTATAACAATTAAGAAAATGTGGTATTAGTGCAGAATAGACAGACCATTGGAATAGAATATAGAATGCAGAAATAGAATTACACTTATATGGGAAGGATGGATTGTTCATCAAATGGTATTAGGTTATTGGTTGATATAGAAAAAAACAGCCAATCCTTCTTTTATCCAACCAAATAAATTCCTCAACGGATAAATTCCCAAGTATGGCGAACAGAACGTTTATATTTTAAAAAGAAGAAAAGGTATGGCCTCAGTGTCTGGAAGAATTACTGAATAGATAAAGCCCACCTACCATAAAGTAAAAGATTAATTGAACTACAGTGAAATAAAAATATCAAAATCAAAAGACATCATAAGCAAGGTGGAGACACAAACCACAAATTGAGAAAACATTTGTAACATAAAATTAATAAAGGATTTGTATCCAGAATATATTGAGAACTTCTACAAAAAAGGAAAACAACAAATGATAAGATTAGGCATCTCACTGAAGAAGAATCTCAAGTAGCCTGCAAAGAAAACAAAAACTTTTTTTCATTCTTGCCTCTAAAAATGTAAATTAAGCAACAGGATATGAGTTTATACCCATCACATTGATAAAAAGTTAATGTCTGATAATACCAATTACTGGTGACCCTGTGTAGCAATGGAAACCTTCATACAATGCTATTAAGAGAGTACATTGGTATAGTCCCCTTGAAAAGCAGTTTGTTGATAGCTATGAAAATTGAAGGTGTGGGGCGCCTGGGTGGCTCAGTCGGTTAAGGCTCTGCCTTCAGCTCAGGTCATGATCTCAGGGTCCTGGGATTGAGCCCCACATTGGGCTCCCTGCTCAGCGGGGAGCCTGCTTCTCCCTCTCCCATTCCTCCTGCTTGTGCTCTCTTTCTGTCAAATAAAATCTTAAAAAAAAAAGAAAAATTGAAGGTGCCTTTTTCTTATGATTCAGTAATTCTCAACATGATAATAGATGTTCTTTTTTTTTATGCCTCATATCTCTTTTGAAGGCTAGAGTAGTGTTTTAAGTCTATACAGTAAAATACATAGGATTATAATGGAAACTAATTATACTAAAATAGTTATAAAAATTTTAAAATTTATGATATAGTATGCATTGTTAGTGTATACTAATCAGATCAACTGAAAGATCTAATAACTGTCAATTTCAAAGTAATGATTAATGTAAATGTTATTTTGAGACAATCTATAACCACTGTTATGTGATATCAAAATATCTAGGGCTGTTGGTGACAAAAATCACAAGGATTACTGAATACTCTCAGGTATATATATTCATAATTGATGTATGGGCTTATTTCCAGACTTCCAATGCTATTCCTTTGATCTACATATCTATCCTCGTGCCAGTACCACACTGTTTTGATTACTGTAGCTTTGTAATAAGAACCTGTGTCCTAGAGACACATTTAAATGTATATCCAAGGAGATTAATAGTGTAACACCACTATAGTATTGTAGTAGCAAAAAATGGGGAATAGCCTAAAGATTAATCAATAGGAGATGATATAAATTGTGATATATTTAGGTAACAGGTAACTGTGTAACAGTGATGATGAATAAAATCAAGTTATAATAATATGGTAGATACCTTGTAGTGTCTCCTTATATACCATCACAGGTGATCTCAAACAGTACTGAGTGAAAAAAAAAGCTTTCAAAGAAAACATACTCTATAACATCATTTTATGAAATTTTAACATTTTAACCAAAGCGTAAAAACCTATATGGCAGTGGTATGTCCAAATTCAGTCTAGTAGTTACTCAAGGGTAAGGAGTAGTGATGGGAAGGACAATCTTGTTACATAGGGGGCTTTTAATTATGTCTATAATGTTTATTTAACTGTGATGGACACATTGTATGCCTGAAATCTTTTGTTAAAATATGTATTGCATGATTTGACAGAATATTAATAAGACAGATAGTTTCAATTTTAATATACAGAATAATTTGGAGTTTGTGTATATGGGACCTTGTCAAGGGAAGATCAGCAAATTAAGTGCTTTCCCCCAGTTCATCTCAGAGAAGTGAATTAACCTAAGAATTGCCAGGTGCTTTAAACATGATGAAAGCATACCTAGTAGATTATTTAATATATTCATAAAGAAAATTCTAATCAAAGCAAAGACAGAACTAGAATTTATATTTAGATCTTTGCCTCCAAAATCTCATACTTGTTCCATGTTGTTAAATTGCATATATTGCATAGCAATGAATGATATATTTTAGAAGTGGTAAGTTAACTGTACCCACAAAATGATACTGTATCTGAGGCATATGTTAACATAAAGACATTGAAATAATCTCAAGCATGACATTATAATCCAGTTTTCTTAAATATACTTTAGATTGTTCTCACGCTCATGAAAGGCTGAAGAAATTATTAGTAACTTTAATGTTACAGCATTCCTGGTTTATTGATCATTATAATTTAGTATACGTTTGGCATTTGAATTTATTATTGTGGAGTTTTTTTCTATTTGAACTATTTTATTTAAGTATAATTAGCAGATAGTGCTATATTAGTTTCAGGTGTGCAGTATGATTCAACAGTTCTATACATTTCTCAGGGTACATCAAGATAAGTGTATTTTTAACAGCATTTAAATTTGTGTGACTTGGTGTTCTGTTATTTTAAACCACATTCTGTTTTGGTTTTGATTTTAGGATCGAAAATTAACAAAGTCGGAGAGGCAGAGATTTAAAGAAGAGGCTGAAATGTTAAAGGGCCTTCAGCATCCCAATATTGTTCGATTCTATGATTCCTGGGAGTCCACAGTAAAAGGAAAGAAGTGCATTGTTTTGGTGACTGAACTTATGACATCTGGAACACTTAAAACGTAAGTCTATCGATGTTATAAAAGTTGACCAAGAAGTTTGAAAGAACTTGAATTGTCTCATGTCATATTTTATCAGTCCTGCTTTTGTTGCCCAGCATACCAAGAAGGGAACAATCCCTCCAATTCTTGGTAGCACATTTTCCTGCCCACTAAGTCCTCTGGTGCATAAAGTGATTTGATAATTATTTAATGGTAATATTAAAATAAGTTATCACAGAATAAACCTAGTTCTTTTAAATCATGTTGCTTTGCAGTTCTAAAATTGAGTGGCTAAGGGATCACGAACTCATATGACAATGTAGCCCTCTAGTGGTTAAAATGAGGTTGAAGCTTATTTGAGAAGCTTTCTCCATTTACTTTACCACTGTGTATTGGATAGTTTTTGCCACATCTATGCAACTGTTACGTCACATTGAAATTGTACTGTGACAGTTATTACTAGATAAATCCATTTGCCATAGTATCAGAAATTAAAGCCGAAATAGCTAGACTCGTCGTTTCTTTCAGGAGAACAGGTCAAATGCAGAAATTTCTTGTTCTCCATTTGAACAGTTCCCAACAAGGAATTCCCTTTCCCTAAAAGAGTTTTAAAGTAAGAATGGGAGTTTGCCTTTGAAATCCCAGGTCTCTCAGATTACCTGTACTCAGAGAGGAAACTACGGTCGACCCTTGAACAATGTGGGGGTTAGGGGCAATTGACCCTCCATCTAGTTGAAAATCCAAGTATAACTTTTGAATCCCTCAAACTTACTTAGTAGCCTACTGTTGACTGGAAGCCTTACTGATAACATAAATGGTTGATTAACATGTATTTGTATATTATATGTATTATATACTGTATTCTTATAATAAAGTAAGCTAGAGAAATAAAATTATGAGAAAGTACATTTGCAGTACTATACTGTAAAAAGTCTGCATGTAAGTAAACCCAGATAGTTCAAACCTGTGTTGTTCAAGGGTCAAATGTAGTATAAATTATATGGTTTAAATTTTCTATTGTGGAGGAATTGGACTTTTAAAAATTGTCTCTTTAGTATGTATTCATTCCTTACTACTTTCTTTAATTAATACTACTGAGCTAATTCATCCCAAATCTTTGAAACAGTTTTGTATCTCCTGGATGTAATGACTTGCATGTGCTCTTGGATGCTCAAGATTAACACATTAAAAAGCCGACGGATTATTTCCCTCCTGCAAATTCTAGTTTCCCCACCTAGCTTCTCCAATATTTATGGCAACACCTTTATCCTAGTCATCCAAGCTGATTGCTATATGTCTCTTTCTTCCATTAGATTGTGATCTCTAGCACTATGCCTGAAATTTAGTAAGTATTTGAATGAATTAAGGAAAATTGTGCGGTAGTAGTTGTGTATATCTGTACCTTGAGATTCTTTTCACCAGTTTGGATACTTTAGTGGGCTGTCAATAATCTGTCAGGCATACCCTACAAGAGTACCCTATGACAGTTTATTTGTTTTAAAAAGTTTGAGGGACTTTGGGTAACATGGTAGGCTAAGCCTCTGTGGAATTGTCCCTTAATTGGTGGAGCACACAACTCTTGATCCTCGGGATCATGAGTTCTAGCCCCATGTTGGGTGTAGGGATTACTTAAAAAAAAAAAAAAAAAAAAAAGCTCAGGTGTAATTAGAAAAGATCCAAAGAACTTTTAGAAATAAGAATAAATACTTAAAATTAAAACTTCATTGATTAGGTTAAACAGCAGACTAAATTGAACTGAAAAGAATAAATATGAAGATCAGAAAGCAAAAAGAACACAAGACATGGAGTGAGAAGACATTAGATTTAATTATCATTCTAGGAGGAAAGAATCAAGAGAAAGACTTGATGTGTATATAGTTCTAAGCAAATAGATTTATTTAAAAAAAAGATTTTTAAAATTTATTTGACAGAGAGCACAAGCAGGGGGAGTGGCAGGCAGAGAGAGAAGCAGGCTCCCTGCTGAGGAGGGAGCCCGATGCGCTGGATCCCAGGACCCCAGGATCATGACCTGAGCCGAAGGCAGACGCTTAACCAACTGAGCCACCCAGGCACCCCCCGCCCCAGCAAATAGATTTAAAACAAATCCATATTCTCATATAGTTATATATGACTTTTATACAGCCATTAAAGCAAGTCCTATAAGCTGCTTCTTGTTAATACTTTGTTAGCAGTTCAAATGAGTAGCAGGACATTAAGTTGTTTTTCTTCACAGTACTTAATAAAGTTGACTGTAACAAACAAAGAACCAAATCCATATTCATACCTGGAAGAACACAGAATAATTAGGAATATTGGTAGCATTTAGAGAGACAAATGGAGCGAAAGGGATGGGAATTGGTTCCAACATACATGCTTTTTGGACTTTTTAAGTTTCTACCTTTGTTCCACATATTTATTAATACCTAAATTGAAACAAATAAACACCCATACCTGAAAAATAATATGGGTTAGAAAATTTGATTCAGGAAATATAAATAAAGCTAGATTTTTTTTAATTGAGATGAAATTCACAGAACATAAAATTAACATTTTTATTTATTTTTATTTTTTTTGAAGATTTTATTTATTTAACAGAGAGAGAGCGAGAGCAGGAACACAAGCAGGGGGAGTGGGAAAGGGAGAAGCAGGCTTCCTGCCAACCAGGGAGCCCAATGTGGGACTTGATCCCAGGACCCTGGGATCATGACCTGAGCCAAAGGCAGACGCCTAACTTCTGAGCCACCCAGGCGCCCTAAAATTAACATTTTTAAAGTGTACGATTCAGTGGCATTTTGTACCTATACAATGTTGTATGACCACTATGTGATCTCTCAAGTTCTTAAACATTTTCATCACCTCAAAGGAACACTGTACTCATTAAGTAGTTATTCTCCATTTTCCTTCCCATGCAGTGTATTTACTCTTTAATTGCCCACCATCTAAGTTGTTGGCATTTTTCTTTCTAAGCTTAAAGTTCTCTTTTCCCATCATTTCTGTTGGCCTCAGAGCTAAGGGAACAAGAGAGTTAATAGAAAGAGCACTAGGGCACCTGGGTGGCTCAGATGGTTAAGCATCTGTCTTCAGCTCAGGTCATGATCCCAGGGTCCTGGGATCGAGTCCCACATCGGGCTCCCTGCTTAGCACGGAGCCTGCTTCTCCCTCTCCCTCTGCCCGCTGCTTCCCCTGCTTGTACACTCTCTCTCTCTATCAAAAATAAATAAAATCTTTAAAAAAAAATAGAGTACTAGACAGAGTAGGAGTGATGAGTTCTACTCCTAGCTCTGCTTCTGCCCAACTGTGATTTGGGGCAAAAAGCTTCCCATATCTGGGCCTCAGTTCTCCATGTGCAAGATGAGGAATTGTACTGACCTCTAGGATTTATGGATAGGAATTTTTTCTGTGATAAAAAACAGGGCATCTGGGTGGCTCAGCCAGTTAAGTGTCTGCCTTTGGCTCAGGTCATGATCTCAGGGTCCTGGGATCCCTGTCAGGCTTCCTGCTCAGCGGGGAGTCTGCTTCTTTCTCCCTCTCCCTCCGCCCCTCTACCAACTTGGGCTGTCTCTCTCGCACTCTCTCTCTCTCAAACAGAATCTTAAAAAGAAAAACATATAAAATTTGCCATCTTAGTCATTTTTAAGTGTGTAGCTCAGTAATATTAAGTATATTGACATTGTTGTGCAATCATTTTTCAGCACTCTTCAGTCCTACAAACTGAAACGCATTAAACAACTCCCCATTTCCCCCTTATCCCAGCCCTTGGCAACCACTAACTGGTTTTTGTCTCTGGTTTTATCTGATCAAGATATTTCATATAATTGGAGTCATAAAATAATGGGGCCTTTTGTGTTTGACTTTCACTTAGCATAATGTTTTCAAGGTTCACGATGTTGCACATATTAGTACTTCATTCCTTTTTATGACCACATAATATTTTGTTTCATGGATGTACCACAACCATTCCTTTGTTTATAGACATTTGATTTGTTTCCACCTTTTGGCTATCATTAGTAGTCCTGCTGTAAATATTTGTGTATAAGGTTTTGAGTATATATTTTCATTTCTTTTGGATGTATGCCTACAAGTGGAATTGCTAAGTCATGGTAATTCTATGTTTAACTCTTTGAGGAACCACCAAATGGTTTTCCACAGTGACTGAACCATTTTACATTCCCACCAACAATCTGTGAGTTTCAGTTTCTCCACATCCTTGCCAACACTTGTTTATTATTTTCATAGCCATCCTACCAAGTGTGACATAGTATCTCATTGTGGGTTTTGATTTGCATTCCTAGTGTCTAATGATGTTGAGCATCTTGTCATGTGTATGTTGGTCATTTATCTATCTTTGGAGAAATGTCTATTCCATCATGTCTTTTGGACAAATCTCTGTTCAAGTTCTTTGCCCATTTTTAATTTTTTTTATTATTGTTGAGTTGTAAGAGTTCTTTATATATTCTGTAAGCCTTTCTCAGATACATGATTTGCAAATACTGTCTCCCATTCTGTAGGTTGTCTTTTTACTTCCTTGATAATGTCCTGTGATGTATAAAGTTTTTAATATTGATGAAGTCCAATTTACTTGTTTTTTCTTGTTGCTAGTACTTTTGATGTTGTATCTAAGAATCTATTGCCAAAACCAAGATTGCGCAGATTTACCCGTAAGTTTTCTTCTAAAACTTCTACAGGTTTGTCTCTTATATTTACATTTGTTTCAGTTTGAGTAAACTTTTATGTATGTGTGAGGTATGGGACCCAACTTCCTTCTATTGCATAGGGATGTCCAGTTACCCAGCATTGTTTGTTCAAGGGACTGTTCTATCCCTATTGAATGGTCTTGGTACCTTTGTCAAAAATCATTTAACCATAGATGTATGGGTTTATTTCTGGACTCTTGATACTATGCTGTTAGTCTGTATATCTGTCCCTAGCCAGTACCACACTATTTTGATTACTGTAGCTTTGTAATATGTTTTCAAATTGGGAAGTGTGTGTTCTCCAATTTTGTTTTCTTTTTCAATATT